TCTGAAGGAGGGGACTGCCTCACAGGCACTTTCTGTTTGTCTGATGTCAAACAGCTGCCGTCATGTCAATAAAAGCGCCATATTTTCGAGAGAATGAGTGAATGAACAGAACCTAGCTTTCTCAAAGCGTTACCATTCACATATGCGTATCACAGCGGTTGATTCTCTGCTGGAGATGCAGCGCCTGAGCAGAGCAAAGAGGGTGCAGCACATGATCAACAACGTGGAGATCTCTGTTGAGCAGGTCAGGCATGGCGGCAACAGCTTTGATACGGAACACAAAGTCACTGCCTGTCAAGGTTTCAGGGATTCTATTGTAGCATTCGCACTCTGAGGAATCCTGCAAAACTTCCTAAGTATTTAAAAGGATTCTAGCCTGGTAATCTGTGCAAGAATCAGGGGCAAAGGCTTCAGACATTTGCATTCTCCAATGCAGCTCCTGCGGAAAAAAGGCGTTTCAGGGCTGCAGCGCATGTGTGAAAAAGTCTTAAGAGAGAGAGGGCTGTCACAACAGAAGTGGATGAAATCGAGTCGAACTTGTCTCACTTTTTTTTCTGCTTCTCTTGACTTCAAAAGAAAAACAAAATATCAACACCAGTCTATGAATCACCGAGAGCACGTGTTTTCCGTGTTGTGTTTACTGACTGAAGTTTAATAGGAGGGAACAGACTTTGAATGTAAGTGCTATGTTCACAAGAAGCCTAAAAATGGATTCTTTTGAAAAAATACATTTTAAAAAATCCATTCAGATTATCTGAATCGAGATTTAAATTAGGAAGGAGAAATGGACTGTCGCCACCCTCAATATACAGCTGTTAGTTTTGCTGTGCACATTATTTCCAGATGTTACAAGACTGTGAACAGCATACCTGCTTCCAGGCATAACTTTGTACATTTAAGAGTAATTGTATAATAAAAATACGATTAAGGGAGAAAGTGTATAGGACTCCAGATGCGGTGGGTTCAAACTGAGAAATTTCTAAACATAAACATAAGAAAAAAACTAAACAAAAAAATAAAAAAGATATTCCCCCTGAAAGCAACGTGTATTATTGTAGTTCAGGAGGCATCTTGCACAGCTAGGACTTGAAATCATTAGCAATTATTAAAGTTACATAAAACAACATTTTTTCCACAGTTTTTTTTTTTGTTAGTTTTTTTTCTTTGCCTGACCTGACCTTGGCTAACCAGAGTTGAGCGGAGCATCCCACTTTTGGACCAGATCTTGATCTGTCCGTCTTCACCAGCTAAGAAATTAAAGACACAATTAAAAAATATAATTAATTGAAACATAAAGGAAACATGACCCAGAAAGATTGCTTGAATGAAGCACACAATAAAAAAGCAACTGAATCGTCTTAACCTGTGATAAGAGCAGTCCCGTCAAAGTTCCACCTCCCAGCCAAAACAGCTCCTTTGTGTGCGTCAACACTTTTCTCTATGCGTCCTGTCTTGGAGGCAAGGTGGAATTTTCCTGTAAAGTGAGGCAAAAATCAAAAAGAAGCAAAAAATAAAAAAAGGGAAACATGCACAAAAAGAAGGGGGGAAAAATTAAAAAAGGGAAACCTGCTAAACACTTTCTCAGAAATGGCCAAAGCTGATGTGAATGTTTCCAGTCTTAAATCTAAAACAATATTGCATGCTGTAATAAACTGGCATCTAAATGGATGCCTTCTTGTTCACAAAGAATGTAAGTTCATAAGTGTGTGTAATTCCAGCAGCAGCATAAAACAAATGGACCAAAATCCTTTTTATGGCCAATCCAAAACATTAGTCAAAGGAAAATATTCACTAAGCTTGAAAACAAAATACATGGAATATATAAATAAAAGTCTAACAACCACTCCCATTACACATAATTAGCATCAAAGTGATACTTCTACAATAAACTAAATTACAAACTTAAACCTTTAAGCAGATGAGTGAAATTAAACTATTTCTGTTGCTTGAATTGCAGCAATTTCCTATTTGCTAGACATGAAAGGGTGATCAGGCATGGAGACAGTTATTGAAGATGCTGGGCAAACATATACTTTGTGGCAGTGTATATTAAAAATTCAGAATGTTCTATGTAATTTCTGGCAACCTATAACTGCAAATCAGCACGCTGCCGCTCTCTCCCGTTTCTAAATTTGGACCTCCCAACAAAAGTGCATGTTACTGATCCAGCAGGTAGTCAGCAAAACAGCCATGTACAGCTGTATAAAGGAACTCTTTCAAAAAACTTCTGACTTAATGCGATGTTTCTGCCTGTGTTACAATGCATTGTTATCAGCAGTCATCAGAAAAGTTGTTTTACTGCCAAGTCTATTTAAATTTCACACAATATCCTTGGTGGTGGGCTTTGTTATGCAATTTAAAATGACTAATAGGGATCTGAAGTACTGAAAAATTAATGTTATTTAGAAGTTCTATGAAAAAAAAAGATAATTACAAGGGAATTCATCAGAAAAAAATAATACAATTCCACATGGTCGGGTACGTAATCTTAAACGTTTGAATAAAGCCCCAAAACGAATGTGAAGTCCTACAACGGTACACTACAGAAACTGCCTTGATAAGATATTTTGGTACACGCAATAGTCAAAAGAATAAATTCCCAACTATCATGCCTGTGATGTTTCTCTTGTATGGTACGCGAGATCGGTAGCTATTAATATTTTTGCAACTTTAAAAGAAGAAGCTTAGAAAAAAAGGTTAAGCAAATGTGAATTCTAACAGAGTTTTCACCACCAGTCTCAAGTCTGCCAGAAGAAAATTGCTGCTTCAGTTTGTGGGTGTGTTTATGCAACCCTACACTGCCATTAGAGTTGTGACCACACATTGCCTGCCATAGCTGTACATCTATACTCTGTGTTTATATCTAATATAGGATGATGAAGAAACGCAAAGGCCATGTAGATAGATGTCACACAGATCGTATCAAGTAGTTAAGTTAACATAAAGTATCCTTCTTTAGTGATACTTCACTGAATCACCCATGAAAAATAGACGGAATATACATTTTTTAACACTGCCAAATAAGGACAAATGTGTAAGCAAGATCAGTGACTTATCATATTCACAACAATCTAACTGAAGGAGATGATCTCCTTTCAATATGAACAATGCATGTTAAATTTTAAAATTGCATTTCATTTGAAAAACACTGGCATCATATAAAGTACATAAAACAAAACTAAACATAAAAAACAAAAGTTATGACAGTTTAGTTACATTCTATATATTTAAAGACTTATGCGTCTGACCATTTTCACATTTCTAAGTTTGACGAAAACAGGCAATGATTTCTCTCATGCTGCTACACATAGTGATATCTGTTCTTAGAAACAAAGCTCTGTGGCTTGGAGGATTTCAGAGAGCATATTTAGACTTGCCATCAGTGCTGGTGAGGACAAAAATCTCCGTCTGTGTCTGCTTTTTGCCACCAACAGTTTTGGGGAACCAATGTAGGTCAATGGGGTAAAAGTCCTCCGGTAATCTGACAACCAGGCTGGTTTCATTGTTGAGCAGGTTCCACTTGAGGATCTGATGATCCTCGCTACATGAGAACAGCTCATCTGCTGTGGTCCAACCCACACAACTCACAAGTTCCTTATGTGATCTGCCATTAAGGTAAAAAATAAACTCATTTGTGTTTTAACTGACTGTCCGTTTCCAGTCCATGGCAAGTGTCATTTCAAAAGAGTTATTTTATGATGTTCCTTCTTAATATAATATATACATGTGCTAACAAATAAATAATCAAAAATTATATGATATATATATATATATGTACTCCTCCTCCTACATAATGTTATTCAAATTAAATCCAACTCAATTAGCTAAAATACTAATATGACTTTCATCTATGTACGTTAAATATCAATAATTTTCTTAAGTAACTAAGTCAGAGGGGCAAAATTAATACATAGCTTTACCCTTATAATGTTATAGTTAGAAATTTGGACAAGCCTGTAGTTTTTGATCACGTTTGATTGTATGGGCTAGACAAATATGACAGTGCTATAATCACAACTTTTAGTAATGCTTATAAGTTCTGCTCACACAATAGTTGAGGTGGAGAGTATCCCATACATACTGTTAAAGAACTAATTAAACCACCAAAAAGGATATGTTTCGATTCCTTCTGCAGCGTTGTTTTTAGCCTCATGGTTGATCTGCTGTATCCTGAAAGAACAAAAAAGCAAATTATGCAAAGTCACTTATCGCTGCTTTACAGTTAAGTTTAAAACACTGAAGTCCAAATCCAAGATGTTAAGACACTTAACGATAAGCACAAACCTATTACGTTTATCCCCTAAATGAAGCAAAGCAGCAATCGTTTTACCCTGGTAGCGTTAACAGTAAATGAAACAAGCGTCTGCAGTTGCTACGGTACCTGTCACTGTTGCTAACGTGAATCCTCATATGTATCCGTGTCTTTCGTAAAACACGAATGCTAACGAACCACTGATTAGCCATATTGTGCCATCACTGAGTTTACAGTCAAATAGTCAATAACGCACACACATGATTTATTAATGATCGAATAGTCATTAATATACAAAATAACTATGTCCATAAGCAATAAAAAATGTTTTACCTCACGTTTGAAGGCTAACTTTTGGTAGCCATATGATAGTGCTGAGAAAGTGCATGAAAAGCAAGGTATCGCGAGAGTTGACAATCTCGCCCTATTTCACAACATATTCCTTAATATGAAGAAAAACAAACGGCATCTAACATGTACCTGAATTTAATGACAGTTGGAATCGAAGCACGTTTACATTATTCTCTAATAAAACTAATATAATCGTTTTCGTGAACCAGAAACCATGCTATAGGGCGGGACTCCTATCTACCGTAACCAAGCAACCATTTGAACGACGAATAAACCTAAAGTTTATAGCCTTATGATAACCTAACATAAAAGTTAACATTCCATAGGGGAAGTTTTGTTATTGTCTTTATTTTTTGCCCACTATTCAGTTTATGGCTTTTGTAGGTGTGGAGTTAGGCGGAGTTGGCTTCGTCCCCTTTTTTGAATTTCGTGTTTTTTTCCCCTTGCCCTTTGAACGGTCCATGATGCCTTGCGTCAGTAACGAATTTGGTTTGACGGCACAGTTTAGGCGCCATTTACAAGATACAGTTTTCGAGCAGGAAAGCGACTCGGAATGACACTGGGCTGAATTTGGTGGATTATATTTGCCGATTTTGGGATTTTTCACACTTTCTGTAAAATCGCCAGGTGGATCAGAAAGGAAGACTTTTGACGGGCTGTTTGTAAATTGCGCAAGGTACAGAGATATTTTAAGCGGAAAGTTATCACTGGGTTCCGTCTATTTGCTGAAATTCGTAGCATAACTTCAACACCAAACCTAACGTTAACATCGCGTTAAAGTAAGTTTTAACGCAAAGCAAGGATAGGAGGCGAAACAACTAGTGTTTTGCAAACCATTTAATTTCGTCAGTTAGATAACCTTTTTAGCCAAAAACGACCTCCAACGTATCATTTATAGACACAAGTCGGTCAGTAACTGTAACATCATATCTGACGTTGTCGTGAACAAAGATAGCTCTACAAAGTTGAACGTAGTTTCGCAGTAGGTGGGTCGAACTTAGCTAATTACGTTAGGATTCGCAGTGCTGCAATATTTTTGACATTCGATTGTTAGCTTCCACAGCTAACTTAACAGTGTCATGAACAATGAAAAAAAGCGTCGGACGTAACCAAGGCAAGAAATACCAATTTATTTAGCTTATGCACGGCTTAACCGTGAAACCAACGTTGCTTTTGACTTTCATTAGTTCTTTGATTGTGCTTACCAAGCGGCTTGGGTTACCCCGTTTATACCACCGCCCCCAACATAAAAGTTCTTGAGACTGAACGGTTATATTACTGTCAGTTTTAGACCTCGACTAGAACCTCTGGCGCTGTTCTGTCGATAGTGGTCGTGTAATATTAGCAATGCTAAGTGCTAAAGAGAGAATCAACCTATTAGCATATTAACTATATTATGCTTTCCTATAGTGACGTTAACCATTTTTTTCTGTTTATCCATCATTTCTATGGTTAATGACCGTATTAGGGACTGCTGAAATGCCTAATGTAGATGCCAATGCTTACCAAAATGACTCTGTCACGGGTGAGGACATAAACTTTGTACTGATATTTGCGTGTAATGTTAAAATAACATCAGCTTTCCTACAACCGTAAAGAAGATCACTTGGACTGTTTTCGAATCAAGCCTTCTTGATAAATAAGGATATTCGGGTCACAAAATCAAAAGCGCTTACTTTGGTAAAACAACTATGCTAGCATGTGAAAAAAAATACCGATTAGTAGTTAGATGGGCGGCAGTGAGATCTGACTGTGGTAATGATAAAAGCCTGACAGAGTAGCTGCGTGTGACCGACTATAAGTTGACTTGAGAGATTGACAGGCACAGAACCCACTCATGGATATTCTTTTTTCCAAATGACCCCTTCAGATTTCAAACCATGCCATCTAAACCTACAAAGGGCTCAACTGCCTCTGGTAAGCCAAGAGTGAAGGGGTCGCAGCCTCGGGATGACTCCGAGGACGAGTTGGATGTACCCCCTCAAGAAACCAACTCCAATGGCCAAGAGGAGGCACCGCCGACAACTGGCAAGTAACAAAGGGTGTTTTGGTGTCTGTGAATCTAAATAAGTTGTTCACTCAATGGCTTTGCGTGTATTGCTGTATTGGTAGAGGCCATTTGGCACAGGTTTAAAGCTTTTTCTTGCTTAAATCTGAACACGTAGTTACAATGGCAGATACGTTTTTTTTTTCTGAAGTGCCAGTCATCAATAAAAATCATTTTGGGGATTATTTTGATACCGTCGAAGGTACTTCTTCGCCGTTCTTCTCGGCAAACAAGGTAATTTATTTCGAATAATGGACAGTTTTGTGTTGTGCAGCAAACGGCATATGGCTTAATGCTTATAACTTGATATTAAATCATTTGAATGTTACTGTTAAGAAGCACACGGGCAATGTTTGATGTCTCTATTCATTAGGATGTGTTGAAATGCTTCACTGGGTGTCTGCTAGAATTAGACATAGAAACATCGACTCCTTGGCTTGTTTATGCTTATGTGAGCACAATGGATTTTGAACAGGTCGTTGTGGCTTGATGTAATGGCAACGCAATCGTTTTAACGTTATATATCATCACCACAAAGGAGAGCATTTTTTTCCCTTGTGTTTTGGATAGAGTTAAGCATGAGTAAAAACGTGACGTTGATGATAGCGATATACTCTTTAGTTATTTATCATCGACGTAGTGACTGTGGCGCATCTACTCTTGCGTATTAACGCTTCTTGTGGAGAGCGTTTGTGTAAGATTGTGGGTTCGTTCAAACGTTACCATGGTCTTCTTTTCTGTTGGTGGGTTTTTATGGGTTTGCTTTTGTTTATAGAAGAAGGGAAATTACGCCTGTCAACTTTCTCTAGAGTCGTTGTTTGATTGTGACTTGCTGCCTGTGTTTTGTTTGTTTGTTTTTCTTTTTTGTGTGCGTGTGTGTGTGTGTGCTCCTCCACCCCTCCCCCATGCGCCACTGTCCCCCACCTGAAACGACTCGCAGAGAAGAATAAAAGTTGTACTTTTTGTGCCACAGATTCGTCTCAGGGGGAAGCTGCCGAGGCGGTTGATAATCGAAGTTTGGAGGAGATTCTCGGTAGCATCCCTCCACCCCCGCCCCCAGCAATGACCAATGAACCGGGCGCTCCTCGCCTGATGATCACACATTTAGTTAATCGCAACTTTAAATCGTACGCAGGCGAGCAGATTCTGGGGCCTTTTCACAAGGTACGACCAAACTGCTTTAAATTTATTCTCTGGCCTGGGAAGACTTCATGAATGTCTTTTGCTCAGACCAGGGTTATCATCACTGGTAGTGTGTCACAACCTTATTTTATTTGTATAAAATGTTTCATCTAACTGTATGTATCTTAGTATGTGTAGAGGCAAACATAGCAATTATCAAGGGGAAAAAATGGTACTATATCATAGCTTTTTTAATTAAAAAAAAATCAAAGTAGAAAAAGTCACAATCCTCCATTTTGATTCAGTGAGTGTATTCCTCAAGATGTGGTGATGTAGTGGTGTAGACAAATTCCTTCTTGAATTATGACTGTCTTTTGATTTTTGATATTTCTCTCTTCACCTTATTTGTATGGAAATATTTTTTTTTAATTAAATCTTAACTACACTCCAACTGAACACATTCACTATCACACTCTGACAATGCAGAAGTGTTTTCACAAACTTTTCAAGCTTAAAAAATGACTTATTTGTATGTAGGTGATGTTTGTTTTCCTATGATTTATTTATTTATTTTCATGTTCTTTTGCCTTTCTCACAGCGCTTTTCCTGCATCATTGGACCCAATGGAAGTGGAAAGTCCAATGTGATAGATTCAATGCTCTTTGTGTTTGGATATAGAGCTCAAAAGATCAGATCGAAAAAGCTCTCAGTGCTGATTCACAGCTCTGATAAGCACAAAGATGTGCAGAGCTGTACTGTGGAGGTGCATTTTCAAAAGATTATTGATAAGGTATATATATATATCTCTTTCTCCATCACAAATACAAACTACACTCACTTTGAAACGATCAATATGCAGGTCAAATAGAGAAGCATGTTGGGAAGTATTTTTCTGTGGTTAGAATTATAGCAGAATTTTAGATATATTATTTTCTCAATCCTCATTTTCTTTATTTCTAGTCATTTATCACATCAGTGACTAAACACAAACTCAAATCAGTCATGAAAGTTACAACTAACTCCCACACACGGAACATTAATCTCATATTGTTCTAGAAGCGCTCCCTCTATTTTTAATTATTTTTTTAAAAATTAACCATGTGGTGATTAGGCCCCATCTGACTGTACAGTAAGACACAGTGGGTGTTTGTAGTAAGTTTTTTTTTTTTTTTAAGTAAGATAATTAGTCAGATGCATTAAATAAATAAGTTCCACAGGAACAAGGCGAACTGTGTGTCTAACAGACAGATATGTTTATATTTTTAATCTGCCACAGGGGGTGTGAGTAAGTTTTGCCTTGACTTCTGCTAAAGATATTCAGACTTTTTAGTTTGCTTCCTCGGACTGATGTAAATTAAAATCAATTCGGTGGACCTATTTTACAAAGCTTTGTTGTCTGTTAGCTGTACAACCGATTGTGTTTGAAACCTACAATAATTTTTTTTCATAGCTTGAATACTCAAATTTGACTGATAGAATTGTTTCTAGAGGAGAAACATTTTAGGCAAATTGCTTAGCCTTTTTTAATTTGTGTTATTTGTAACTTGATTACATCATATAATGTGTTTCTTGAATCCTGTAAATTTGATAGAATACACCCCTGTTACTGCCATGTTTTTTAGAAGAAATGGAACTGGAACTGTCCCAATACTGCTGTGTGATTTTTAAACAGTCCTCATTCTTAAAACCTTTTAATGTGGTTTGTTGTTTTGTTTAATTTTTTCTCAAAGCACTCTGAGGATTTGTTAGTACTTTGAGTTTTACATGTGTAGAGCTTTTCAGTCTGAACTGTTCTGTTCTAAGCTGCTCTGTCTTCTGCCCCTCCCCCCTCTGAGTCAGGAAGGAGATGACTACGAAGTCATCCCCAACAGCAAGTTCTATGTTTCCAGGACTGCCAACAAAGACAATTCTTCAGCTTACTATATCAATGGCAAGAAAGCCACATTCAAAGAAGTGGGGGCTTTACTCCGAAGCCATGGTATTGACCTAGACCACAACAGATTTCTGATCTTGCAGGTAATTTTTTTTCTGTAATTTGCTCTTCCCATCTACCAGTTCCAACTCTAGCTTTTCTGTTTTTAATTCCCTCCTGGGACCATCCCGTTCTGTCCGAGATTTCCTGCTTATCATTTTCAATCCATTTCCTATGCCTTTTTAAGTCAAATGTTTCATGGACCTATAAGCCCTGCTTGTCTGTGGGAAATAACCTGTTGCACTGGAATTGGAAAAGAGGAGGCTCTCTGCCAGCCCTTAGATTGCTATAGCAGCGCATCATGGTTTGAAACAATGTGGAAAAGGTGCGAACCATTATTTGCTGCTTTAGAATTTTAAGGAAAAGATACAGTTTGGCCATACATGGACCTGCATGTGAGTCGTTGAATTACTCATTCAGATTTTGCAGTGAGAAAATCTTTGGTAATTGTCCACTAGTGGGTTCAGGTTGGACCTTGCTTTCCCTCCCCTTCCCATTTACCTGCCACACTTTAGCAGCACGTAAATATTGGCGTGTGAGAATAAACCCCAACCCCAATATTAGCAGTGCTGCTTCAGTGTGGCCGGGCCAAACACCCTCCATTACCATGGCTTTAATATTGGTGTGACCTTTTCTTCATTTATTTATTTGTTTAATTCGTTTCCTTCATTGTGACCAGTCTGCATTCTGAATACTTAAAATTATTTTGGTTGTTGGATTTTTAAAAATATATTTTTTAATTCATTTATTTATTTTTCCATTTGTGTTATGCTGTACAGAGTTTGAATCAGTTGACTTGCTACAGTGTCCCACCCTGCTGAGTGTGTTTCATCTGACCTGTCACACTTTTTTACTAATGAGCTCCAGCCATATGGGGATGACTTGTCAGGCGAGAATAAAGTGGCAGATTTAATTTTATGACCCGAGTTTTGACATTTCTTTTTGATTTCCAAAACATTCGAAAGCTTTCAGGTGGGCACTTGTGTCCTGTTTGACTTCTGTGTGTCTGTGTATACATGTCCATTTTCACTCTTCCTCCCAGTCTTTGAAATTGCTGCATGACCATGGAAAGAGGCTTGAGCTTGTTCTCCGAGGTCACTTTTCCAGGGCTTTGGCAGAAGGGTAGTGTCTATTTTGTGCACTGATCAGGGAAAAGGATGACTTGAGACCCCCCCCACCCCCACCCCTTCTTTTAAAGTCCTATTTGGGTGTGTTGCATATTAAGGGAGTATACACAGCCTTTTCTCATCATTTGAATTTAATTAAATTAAAAAAAAAAATGATTTAGTAAAAAAACATTTGTGTTGAACTTTGTATTGAATTTTTTGCAGGGTAGTTTAGTCATTCATTTCCACCCTTTTCATTTTAGATGAGCAAATAAAAATGGTCACATGTTCAGAGAAATGTAATTAACCTAGAAAAAACATCCTTAATTAAGTACCAAATGGCACACATGCATATTATTAGGTATTTATTCTTCTGTGTCAAAGAAGTGAAAAGGTTTGTGGTAGCCTTTGTTTTTTAAACATTTACAATCTGGTGGTTTAATATTTTTAAACACGGGTGTGCTTACTGAATGGGCAGTGAGGGGGTGTTTTGCTGTCTTTGATACTCTGTTGTCCTCTGAATGAAACATGTTTCTGATAATTTCTCATTAAATAATGTGATCCTTTTTTCTTTAGTTACTTTTTTTTTTAAGTATCTTTCAGTTTTCTGTCTCTGTGTTGTAATATTGTGTTACTTTCATAGTAAGAGTATGTGAGAGTATGCAAGGTGTTTATATTTTAGTTTTATTTATATTTATACTGTTTAAAAAAAATGAATATATATTTTATTTTACCAAAGCCTAACGGTTACTGTTAATTTTTCAAGTTCAGGAATAAGTGCATGTATACCTCCGCCAACATGCTCTTTTGGACTGTATACAGGGTGAGGTGGAGCAGATTGCCATGATGAAGCCTAAAGGCCAGACGGAGCATGATGAGGGGATGCTGGAGTACCTCGAAGACATTATTGGTTCTTGTCGTCTGAAGGAGCCTATCCAAACCTTGTCTCGCCGCATTGAGTTGCTCAATGAGCAAAGAGGAGAGAAGGTGAAAGCACTTTCAAACTCAGCATCTTTCATTCCTGTTTCTTCTTTTTTTTGTGCATTTTTTTATAGTTGCTATTGGGGTTGAGGTTGTTTGTTTTTGTGCCATCAAGAGAAAGTATTCAAGGTTAAAATAATGAGTTATTCCAGGTGTGAATCTGAACCTTGTAAGACAAGCTGCCACTTGGCAGGACTGTCTTCTCTGTTTATACAGAAGCTGTCAAAGGTTTGCACACACCAACACATTCTTTTCCAATGAGATTTAATTAATGGGTTTCTTTGCATACACTGACCTCTGAAGATTGCTTTAATGTTTATATCTCGACCCTATAATCTCCTTCAGTCTTTCTCATTTTTACATTATTACACCATGAATGAAATTTAGACAGCTGAAATTAAACACCATAATGTTTCTTTTTTTTTCCTCTTTTTTTTTTTCATACTGCCCCAGCTAAACCGAGTAAAACTAGTGGAAAAGGAAAAGAATGCTTTGGAGGGAGAAAAGAACAAAGCTGTGGAGTTCCTCTCTCTGGAGAATGACATCTTCAAACACAAGAGCCGGCTCTATCACTATTATGTGTGAGTACCACCCATTAGTTCTTTCCATGAAAAATTAAACAAAGTAAACATAAATGGAGCGTGTAAAGAAAGCAAGAGCAGCACACTTGTCAGGTTTCAGACCTTAAATCCCCTCGTTGTATCAGGAAACTTGAGTTTGTTCTCTTTTTTTATTTCTGGTGTCTCTTTGTCATCAGCCATGATTTGCAGAAACGAATGGTGGACAAACAGCAGGAGAAGCAGAACATCTTGGAGGAAACCAAAGAACTCACTGAAAAAAATGCAAAGATTTCACAGGAGATGGAGAAAATGAATGAAGAGCTTAAAAATGTAGAAAAGTAAGAAATGTACAGGTTTTTCCCCCTGGTGCTATATCCTTAGATTGTTTTAAAGTGGTCCTTTGTAAGGAAAAATGCAGCCTGGAAATTACTAAAATTATTTAAATTTGTTCCACATCTAGTTTCGATGTTTTTTTGTATGCATGTGTGTCCTAATTTTTAAAAAGAAGCTATAGACTTACTATTGGATGTCTTATTTTAACAATTATTTGGCTTTTATGATCAGAACATTTTAATTTTCATGTAATTAAACATTATAATAAAGCTAATGCTGAGCTTCAACAAGATTGTCTATTTATAGAGAAAACATAGATGTCTTTATTTGGGTATTGATAATCTTATGTAAATTATTTTGATAGTTATTCCTGAAACGATGCTTGAATAAACTGGTGAAATGTTTTTCCTCCGCCAGGAAACAAAATAAGATCAACAAGTACATTGAGACGCAGAAGGAGAAGTTCACCCAGCTGGACCTGCAGGATGTTGAAGTGCGTGAGAAGATTAAACACTCCAAGAGTAAGAACAAGGCATTGCAGAAGCAGCTGGAAAAGGATCAGAAAAAGGTGTGTTGGCCTTTAGGCTGCAGTCCACTGCTACTCACAGATCAATGACTTAATGAAACACAGTTTTACTGTTTGCTGCTCTGCTCTGGATCACATGTGTCACTCCAACATTATCAGTGTGAACCCTCTGCTCAAAGGCACCAAACACTAAATCTGTCCCAGTGTAATTTTAACCCTTTTTATAAATGCAGAGCTGACGTCCATTTACAGATAAAGCTTGAAGACACCATGGCCTTAGTGTTTGTCTTGGCTATGAGGAAGAAAATACTGTTTCCTATATGGAGAGGTGCTTGTTGGAAGCCTAACAGCTAAATTAAATATTAAAATATATAATAAATTCCATGTTTGTTCTTTTAAATGTTTAATGTGCATGCAGATTCTCTAAATCCTCTTTAAGGAGATTTTTCCCCATTAATCATTGCCGTTGTTTTATAATTGTAAAGAGAGCCTTAAAAATATGGGGAAAATTTTAAAATGTTATGAATTTAATTCTAAAAGCCTTTTTTCTCAGTAATCGTGGCTACTGCCACAGAGACGGCTTAAGAGTAAAGAAAGTTGTGTTATTGTATTTTGTGAACATATTAAAATCTTTTATTTTTTTCATAAGATTTTTTATTCCACAGTGTAGACTCTTAAGAAAAAAGAAAACAGCAGTTTTAGAATGTTGTATGTCACAGTGAGAAAAAGAAAATATGGGACAGTGATATTTCCTGTCTTCATAGTGTAAATATTGCCATCGATCACAATTGGTCACACATGACTCCCTCTGTTGATGAAAAATAATCTAGATATGTATGGACCATGCTTTAATTTATTTGTTTAAATCGTTTTTTTTCTTTAAGAAATGGACTTATGTTATTCCTAGAATAAAATAAAAGCCAGTGTTTTCGTTTAAATGAACTCTTAACAGGAAGGACCATCAGGCCTAAACTATCCACTAGGGGGCTGTCAAGTAACGCACAAGTCGACCGGCGCTATCGTTCCCTTTCACCAGGAAGTCTTTTTTTGCTCCACTGTTGTCTCTGTCTTACACACTTACTGATAAACAGTTCCAGTCAAACGAGGAGCGTTTTTTTTTTTTTATATATACAGAGGTGTCTTCTCATCTGACTCTCACTCCAAAACACACTGCTCCACCTACAATGGCAGCACTCTGGAAACATCTTGGTCAGAGGGGGAACTGGGCAGAGGCAGTCAGACCTCTGGGGAGCAGTGTTCTGCTGTGTGGCTGTCGACTATGGCCGGGCTTGTGTAACACTCCCAGCAGCCACATTCACATTTCACCCGCAGTTAACCCTACAAAACATACACACACACACTAATTCTTGCCTTCTTTCAGCCCTGCCAAGCTGCAGACTTGTGCCAGTCCTAACCAGGGTTACTCAGAACTGAATGTGTGTTTATAGTTGATCACATTTGTGTGTTTGGCATTGTTTGGAATGTACGACCCAGAAACTATCAACTGTATTTTAACATATTTCAAAGCCTCCGGTTGCCTGAATTTTTTTTCGTTGTTGTTCTGAGCAGAACTCTTTATGTAAATGAGCCCCTTTAGATTTGAGATGCCCTAAATAGAAGCACACAGATCTACTCAAATGTTAAACCAGGTCTTAATAGTTGAAGAAGTCAGTGTTAGGAAGCACCGTTGTTGTTGGGAGCCACACTTGGACGCATCTACTGTTTTTTTTGTGTGTTTTCTATTAAATGTTATCGTCTGTGGTTGATTTGTCAGTTGGAGGAAGTGCGCAGTGTACCAGCCAGCAGTGAAAAGGCCATCTCTGAGGCAACAGCCTGCAAGGAAGACCTGGAGAAACAGAAGGTAAAAGAAGAGGAAAAGCTCAAGCAAGTGATGGAGAGTCTGAAGGAGGAGACAAGTGGCTTGCAACAGGATAAAGAGGTCTGGTTGGATTCTAACGATTAATTTAATGACGTGTAATTGTTTCTGCAAATTCAAGCCTCGAGCTTTTTTAACCTTTTCCTTTTCCACTGGCGCTTTCCAGACAAAAGAGAAGGAGCTCATGGAACTCAGCAAAGCTGTAAACGAGACCCGCTCTCGTATGGACCTCTCGCAGTCAGAGCTTGACATTTACCTGAGCCGCCACAAAACGGCCCTGACCCAGCTCAACACGGCCAAACAGACGCTTCAGACAACATCAGACACTCTGCACGAGCGCCGCGCGGCCATCAAAGACCTGGAAGTTCAGATACCCCAGAAAGAGCAGCAGCTCAAGGAGGTCAGAGCAGATCTGTTTGTGCTGTGCCCGCCCACGGCGTGCTGACGGCGTCCGCTCTAACCGCTCGCCTTCGCCCTACAGGACCAGAGGGAGCTGGACCAGCTGATGAAGACGGATAACGAGACCAAGGAGGTGGTGAGGGAACTGAGGCAGAAAGTAGATGAAGCCAAGAGTTCTCTGTCGTCGAATCGCAGTCGAGGAAAAGTTCTGGATGCCTTAATGCAGCTAAAAAAGAGTGGCAAAATTCCAGGCATATACGGCAGACTGGTAAAGCATCTCCCAGCATTGTTACTGTATTTATTTAAATGAAACCGATCGCATGTTCAGTTAAAGTTAGAGATGGCAAGTGGCTGTGTTATTTAGGTATTTGTGTGCTCGCAGGGAGACCTCGGAGCCATAGATGAGACTTACGATGTGGCCATTTCCTCTTGTTGTGGGGCTCTGGATAATATTGTGGTGGATACCATTGACACGGCTCAGAAATGTGTCACATTCCTCAAAGAGCAAAACATCGGAGTTGCTACTTTTATTGGTCTCGACAAGGTAAAAAAAAAAAAATCCTGACTTTGTAGAGCTTTAATGAGGTGGTGTAACATCTCTGGGGATGCAAACAAACCATATTTTGCTTTTCCCCAACATTGTTCCTCTTTCTTTTCTTTTTGTAGATGAAGGTGTGGGAGAAGAGCATGGCTCCCATTCGCACTCCAGAGAACAGCCCTCGCCTCTTTGACATGGTTCGAGTGAATGATGACAATGTGCGACCAGCTTTCTACTTTGCCCTGAGGGACACCCTAGTGGCCCAAGACATGGAGCAGGCCACGAGGATGGCCTTCCAGAAAGACAGGCGCTGGAGAGTGGTGACCCTGAAGGGACAAATCATTGAAATGGCTGGTTGGTGGCTTCCCTTCTCTGTTTTGTTTTGTTTGTTTTTGTCTGCCCGGTGTTATTAAGCCTCCATGTGTTTCTCAGGAACCATGACCGGTGGAGGAAGAGTCCTAAAAGGCAGAATGGGCTCTTCTATTGGCACAGAAGTTTCACAGCAGGAGGTAAATTCTTTAAAAAGTGCCAAATCAATTCATTTTCAAGCATGGCAAGTAACTGGAATATTCTGTTAGTAACTGTAACCTGTTAGCTTTTAGCTGTTAGCATCATATTAAAAAGCCCTGCTTACTTTGAGGCTGTGAGTTCTTCTATTATGTGTTTTATCTGTAAGTGTTCATGCTGAATAAGTAAACGCTCCATCACAAAGCAAGAACAGGTTTTTTTCTTCCTTCCTTTCCACAGCTCGACCGTATGGAGAGCAAGCTAAATGAGAAAGTGTCAAAGCTGCAGGGCTGCCAAGAGAAAAGGCTGCAGCTGGAGGAGAATGTCCAGCGCCTCCAGCCTCAGCTCAGAGAGATGAAGAACACTCTGGAGAAATACGCCAAGAGCATGACCGTGCGTCATATTCCCTCGCCGGATTTTTTTTCTGTCTCTGACGTCAAAACGAAGGCGTCTGCTGTTCTGCAACCGGAAAATATCACTAACCACTGGTTCAAAAACTGTTGCCCCCTCATGAGTTTGTGTTTTCCTTCCTCCTGCAGAGTCTGGCTGACCAGGAGACCCACTTAAAACTTCAGATTAAGGAGCTTGAAGCCAATGTGCTGGCAGCTGCCCCAGACAAGGCCAAACAGAAGCAGATGGAGAAGAGCCTGGAGGCCTTCAAAAAAGGTAGAAGCCGCTGTAAACCTTCATTAGATTTCATTTCAACAGTTCAACATCAGCCACACATAATATTTACAGTTCTGTGTAATGTGTCAAAGGTTCCAGGGCATGTCACTGTTTTTATTTCCAATATTTGACATCTGAGGTTCCTTCTCTGAAAACGTACATCAGGAACATCTAACTGTCTTATTCAACAGACTACGAGTCAGCATCCAGCAAAGCCGGGAAGGTGGAAAACGAGGTGAAAAGACTCCACAACCTGATTGTTGACATCAACAGTCACAAACTGAAGGCTCAGCAGGACAAGCTCGACAAGATCAACAAGCAGCTGGACGACTGCTCGTCCACCATAACCAAAGCCAAAGTGGCCATAAAGACCGCCGATCGGTGAGGAAGTGGCTGTTTTATTCTCCTATTGTTTACTTAATAAACAAGCTGTGAGCAGTTTTTCACACAATCTGGCGTCATGGTAACAAACAGCCAAGCGTGTAAACAAGCGTGCTTTTGGATGTTTGGGCTAGCTAACCGGGCAGAACAGGCCTGTCCAGCAGCAGCTCTCAGCTCAGATGTAAGGCCCTCACATTCAGCCCAGCTCTAACTGACGTCTGCTTCCCATTGTGTAGCAACCTCAAAAAGTGCGAGGAGAGCGTCACGCGTGTGCAGGGCGAGCTGGAGGAGAACGAAAAGCTGATGGTGGAGCTCACCGAGCAGCTGAAGAAGCTGGAGGAGGAAGCCGGGGAGATCATGAAGGCCTGTCAGGAGGCAGAGGTTTGTGCTCGTTAGCGTTGAGTTTCTTTTCTCCCCGGAAAGCCCAGAGGCCTCCCAGGTGCCCCTGTGCTCTGCTAGAGAAGAGGTTGTGTGAGCGGGTCTGTGTGGTCCTGCAGGCGGCGCTCCCGGAGGTGCAGGAGCAGCACCAGGCCGTGTCCAAGCAGATAAAGGCGCTGCAGCAGCAGGAGCACGCCCTGCAGGAGCAGTCGCTCAGCGTCCGGCTGGCCATCGAGCAGATCGACGCCACCATCAGCAAGCACAACGGCAAGATCAAGTACTGGCAGGACGAGGTGAGGGAGGCGTTTCTGAATTCACGTTGAGTTTTTGTTTTTTTCACCGTGCCAGATGCTGAGTAAACAAACGAGTAGTTCATGAGTTCATCAGACTAGGTGTGTTGTGGTAACTTTGCCCTCTGCTTCAGGCCACCAAACTCTCCCTTCATACGATCGAAGGCCATCCAGCAGAAGAACTTCCTGTTCTGACTCCTGCTGAGCTCGAAGCCATCTCGGATCCAAACGTCATCATCAACAAGATGAGCACGTTAGAGATCCAGTGTGGTCAGATGAAGCCCAACCTCGGAGCCATCGCCGAGTACAAGAAGAAGGTACGTCAGTTTGGGGGGGGGGTTCTGGGTTTGTCTGCATTCTTATTCGGGTGGTTGTGCTGTTTTGGGTCATGGTGTCATCGCTGTAGTGTGGTTGTAATATTTGGTGTAGCGTCACACTCCCAGACGAGAGGAGATGAGTAAGTAACGTCCCTGCTGTGAGCTGGAACTGCTCAGCACACGACGTCACCCAGCAGGTGGCGTTGTTCACACCCCACAGCCGCCTGTAACGGAAGGAATGGTCTGCTTTGGTGTTCAGGAGGAGCTGTACCTGCAGAGGGTGGCCCAGCTGGATGAGATCACCACAGAGAGGGACAGCTTCAAGCGGGGCTACGAGGACCTGCGCAAACAGCGGCTCAACGAGTTCATGACCGGGTTCAACATGATCACCAACAAGCTGAAGGAGAACTACCAGATGCTGACCCTGGGAGGGGACGCAGAGCTGGAGCTGGTGGACAGCCTGGACCCGTTCTCTGAGGGCATCATGTTCAGGTGAGCGGAGCACGTTAGGAAAAACAAACACCCAAACTGTTGCATCCTTCTTATTTATTCGACCGTTCGTTTGCAGTGTCCGCCCTCCAAAGAAAAGCTGGAAAAAGATCTTTAACCTGTCTGGAGGAGAGAAGACGCTCAGCTCTCTGGCTCTGGTGTTCGCCCTGCACCACTTTAAGCCCACGCCGCTCTACTTCATGGACGAGATAGACGCAGCGCTGGACTTCAAGAACGTCTCCATCGTGGCCTGTTACATATATGTGAGTGTCGGTCTGAGCACGTGCAGACGTAACGCAGCGGGCCCTTTGGCGCCAGGCCTGCCTGCACCCCATTGGCTCAACTCTTATCTGTTGTGTTGTTGTGTGTCTGCAGGAGCAAACGAAGAACGCACAGTTCATCATCATCTCGCTCAGGAACAACATGTTTGAGATCGCCGATCGTCTCATCGGCATCTACAAAACGCACAACACCACAAAGAGTGTCGGCATCAACCCCAAGACCATCGTCTTCAAAGAGCACGACGCCATCACGGCCTGAGCTGGACACTCTTTACCTTCCTTACCCCCCCCCCCCCCACATGTACAGATTTTTATGAAATGCTGCTATTCTTACCGAATAAACTTTTTTTCATGAAAGCTGTGTTTAGAAAATATGACACCTGAAAACTATAAACACAAAAACAAAGTTTATTATATTTTAAATACATGAAGCCAGTTTATATTTTTCTAAATGACATTACTAAAAGAGTCATAACTAGTTAGAAATCCTTTGTTTTCCTATGAACACATTTCAGTCAGCGGAAGAGGGCTGCTGCCACTCAGCTAAAATAAAAACACGAGTGTCAAAACAAATGCGGATTTCACTTCAGCAGGAGCTTCCACAGCATTATGTGGAAAGCCACGCCCATGGTCAGCCTTAAGCCACGCCCACAGCGGGCTCCACATTTCACACTGTTGTGTAGAGATGACAAACGGCTGCTGAGCTCCACCACAGGATGGAAGTGTTCCTCCACGCCCTAACAGACGGGTTAGCCCAAACGTCTCCGGTCAGTAACAGTGAAGCATAAAAACACTGGGCAGAGTAACGGGTCAGTTTAAGGCCACTCGAGGTGCCCGCTGACCCCAAGTCCACCCGCGGATTAACGTGCACATGCAGCTCATGAATTTGAGGACCTTGCTGTAATTTTTCAGCCAGTTTTACACTTTTAAAAAAATAATTATTTAGCTCACTTTTTTAACGTTTCAATGTTTGGTTTAACTCTCAGTCGTCACATCAGAAGAAATTTAAAGTCTCATTTTCATTATTTTGGTTTCAGAACTGTTTCAACACTGAAACACGTCCTTGGATATAAATTCATAAAAGCAGCTGTTTGTAACAATGATCGAAGTGGATTCTTTTTTTTTCCACCATACGGGAATTGAGGCTGTCTTTAGGGATTTTGAGGGGCGGTTTTCATCCTTTCACGGAAACAGGCTTTTAAACATGGCAGCCACGTGCTGGGTGACCTTCTCGCTGACCGCGGTCAGCTTGGAGCTCCATCCCTGCTCGCCGGCCCCCATCAGAGCGCACGCCGCCGCCGCCAGCTCGCTGCCCAGGCTGTGGACCACCTGGCTGCAGCGCCACAGCAACGCCCCCCCGCCCGGGCCCCCCCACAGCGCCCCCCCCACCACCAGCACCAGCAGCAGCCCCAGCAGCATGGCGGCGCCGGTGGCGGCTGGCCGCAGGGGGCCGGAGCCCCGGGCCTCCCCGTCGGGCCCGGCGTCCTCTGACTCAGCCTCCACCCCCGCCTCCGCCCCCCCCCCGCCACATCTGGCACAGCAGCAGACTTTGGGGACGGGCGCGGCCTCCAGGCTGCCCAGGGTCAGCGGGGCCCAGTGCTGCTGCAGGAAGGCGGCCGCCCGCGGCGTGACCGACAGGCTGACCACGGGGGGCAGGGGGGCCGTGGTCAGCTTCTCCACCCGCTCCCTGAACAGGTGCACCTTCTCCAGGAAGACCAGGGGGGCGTCCTCCTCCTCCACGGACGGGCCCAGAGACACCAGGTCCAGCTGCTCCTCCTACAGGGGACAGCGGACGGTCAGGCCTCTGTACAAAGGAATGGTCCTGCTTTCAAACTATGAGGACTTTGTCTTCCTGTCCAGTTCTTTTCTTTCTTTTTTTTTTTTATCCGACTGCTGAACAGATTGAAAATGTGGGAATTTGTGGACACTTGCCATTTATTCCTGGCATCAGAACCATAAAATAACCACTCAGCTGTCACCAGAAACCGCCCCAAAAAGCTAAAATAAGTCCAGACTCTTTGTGCAGCGGGCCACAGACCTGCAGCTCCTTGGCTCTGTGGATGAGGGGGTCGTAGGCCTGCGCCACCTCGCCGGCGGCCTTGTCCAGCGCCTCCAGGCAGGCCTGCCTCTTGCGGGCCAGCAGCGCCTCCAGCGAGAGGAAGAACTGCGCCACGTCCTGCCGGTCCTGCCTCAGCAGGGCCTCGCAGCGGGCCTTCTCCTGCTCCAGCTGCTCGGCCAGCTCGCACACCTACCGCCGGACACCGGCACAGGTCATCAGAACGGACACCGGTCAACCGCCCCCGCCCCGCCCCAGGCTCGGCAGAGGCTCACCTGCGCCCATCTCTGCTCGGACAGTTTGGCCAGCAGCTGGGACGGGGCCCCTCTCTCCCGGGCGAAGGCGGCCTGCAGGTCGTCTATGGCGTGGCCGCGGTGCCCCCCCACCGTCAGGCACAGCCCGCAGATCAGCCGCCGGTCCTGGACGCAGTACATGTTGAGGGGCTGCCGGTGGTGCTCCGGGCAGGAGGGGGCCCGCGGCTCGCCGTCCCTCTGAAACTGAGGCCGCACGGGGTTTAGAGAGAGGCACAGCTCAGTCCTGTCCCCCCCCCTAATCCCCTCCCCCTCCCTACTTTCTCCACGATGGCCCGCAGGGACACGTTGGTGGGCAGGGCCTCCACGCCCGAGGGGGGCAGCTCCACCACGCCGCGGCAGTTGGGGCACTTTATGGGCAGGCGGAGTGGACGCCAGATGGAGTAGTTGGTGGACACCTGCAGCAGGTTGTCCAGGCAGGCCTTGCAGAAGGTGTGTGAGCAGGGCAGCACCCGCGGGTCAGAGAACAGGGAGTAGCACACCGAGCACGTCAGGTCCTCCTCCAGGTTCTCCATGATGGAGACCAGGGCCCCGGCACAGGCCTGTGTGTGTGTGTGGGTGTGTTTGTGTGTGTGGTGGGCGGGCGACGGGCAGGTGGGTCCTTGGGGGAGAACAACAACATCTGGTAGGTCAGGGTAGATGCACAGCAAACACACACACACACACACACGCCCCACAGCTATAAGCCCCCACTGACAGGGAGCATTCTGAAGGGTTGGATTGTTTATTTTAATGAGACAGAAGTCATAAAACGGTTCATCACAACACTGGAAAAACTAGAAATTTGGCTTTCAACCGTCTGTTGGCGTAGAGAAATGGAAAAATGACAACTTAATTGTTTGTTCCCCCCCATGGTGTTTTTTAACTGATTATTTCTCCAATTAAGACAATACTTCCTCAACTCTATAGAAATATGCACCAAATCTGTACCTGACTGTCCATAAAAGTAGAATTTATAACAGAAACTTTAAATCATTTGATCAAATCTTACCCCCAACAGTAAAATTGCTTCTCCCTTTTATTAATAGAACGTTCAACAGCTCATCAAGATCCACCCATCATGTGCAAAGATGAATCAACCAAACACAGCCACAAAAGATCACCTCACACATCAGTAATAGTGTGTGTGTGTGTGTGTGTGTGTGTGTGTGTGTGTGTGTGTGTGTGTTGACTGGTTCCCTCCTCTTGTTCCAGGCTGCACCGCAGTGACAATAGGAGGCCCCCAGCCAGCCCCCCCCCCTCGGGTGCCAGGTCTCCGGTTTTCGGGACGGTCAGTGAGACCAGACCTAATCCACATGGAGGGTCAACCGGAGGCCAAACCCGACCCCAATAACGAACTCCAAACCCCAGCGATTATGTATCCGCTAAACCAAATTACAGTTTTATACGCTCTGTAAAAAAGCAAGCTCACACGTGACTAAATACTTTAGTTTTAACTTGTTTGTTTACTTCTTTGGGGGCATTAGCAGCTGACGCACCCGCCACTAATTCAAATGTTTACTTCTTTTGTCGCCTGTTTTAACCCACTTGTCGCCTTTTTTTAGCCCACTTGAGACACATCGCAAACCGGAACAATGCAACTTCATATTCTGTCGGTTGTTTAAAAGAGCGAGGTATTTATCGTTTAGTCTATTACTCGTTACGCTCGTGACGCGATGTGAAACTAGTTAATTAGGCGAGACATCAACTTAAAGACACTCACCGTCCGGTCGGAGCCAAACAGCCCTCGTTTCCTGTTCCTTCTCGTGCCGCCTTCAGGTACACTATGTAAACTACAGTACCAATTTCAAATATATAAAAAAAAACACAAGCCCAAAAAAAGTGGACGTCAGTATAACATGGCCTTAAACGTATCTATGCTAACGCGGATTTTTTACTAATATGTCAATGCAAACGCGCAGTTCCTCAGTCAGATGCTGCTGCTCGTTTTTTTATTAAAAAAAAATACGATCACATTTCCCACAGTAGTCACTTCAGAAATTCTTAATTAAAATTGGATTATGTGCGATTGACTGCTTACTCCTTCCACGTTGCAATGTCAGTTCAGAAGTTCATTTCTCCGATAGTAACCACCTTCGTAAGTTTTACTCTTCATAATGCGCATGCGGGAAAACGGTCGTTCTGTCCAATCAGGTGATGCCGCCACTCGATTTGAACACAAACTCAAACATTCATTAGAACGAAAGTGTTTCGAAGAAAGAAAGAAGAAAAAAAAATCTGGCCAGAGAATTAATCACACAACTTTTTCCACGACAGAGCACACACACACACGCGCACGCAAACTTTCGGTTTGGGTTTCACTATTTATTTTCTTGAAGACAACCTATGCTGTAGCCTATCTTCCACAAGGGTTTTTAGGCACACCACTTTTTCCCCCCCTTCCAGGTCAATAATGTTATATTTGAAACCACGTTTGCTAACAAGGAATGCTGCAAAAACAGAACAAAAATACCCCTATGTTCAACAGAAGGTTTATGAGCACAAAGTGTAATCATTACTACAGTGTTTGAAGTTAACAGAAAAATGAAAGGGGGTAAGCTTGTACACCTAGCTGGTAGAGGAAAGAGGGATACGGGGCTGAGGACTCTGCAGGGTACTAAAGTTACAGCAAAACCTGTTCATGGGTTTATTTATTATTCAGGGTAAACCCATTTAACACAACTCCAGTCTGATGCGCGGGACACCTCTGACCGTGAGAGAAGGGAGGTTTAAGCCCCCCTTTAATCAAGCTGAGATACAATAGCAGAAAAATTACTGCTGCTCCTGAAATAAAGTCATTATTTTCTCAAGTATCACTAAAAAGCATCATTGGATCACTCTATAAAGACAACAAAGACTGTGGTTGAGTGATGCATAATGTAGAGGCTGATGGCAGGTCAAAACCTATGAAACCCACCAACGTGCCCTCAGAAAAACGTCAGGCCTCACTTTGCAGTACATGTGCAAAACCATACAGATTATTTAGCAAATTGGACACTAGTGAGGATTAAGGGAGGGGGAAACATGTAACATTTAAGCACAGTTTTACTTAAAATGAAAACAAAAAAAAATACACTGTATCCACAGCCTAAGGAAACTAAAATACCCTAAAAAATAACTGTGCTATAGTTTAGTACATGCAAAGGTTATGTTTCACAATCCTACACGACATGGCCGTTGTTCTCTTCTCCCTAGGTGATAATCGAAGCTATGGCAACAAAACTGCAAAGCAGTGATTCTGCTGTAAATGAAGAAATTAAAGGAGGAGTTACAAGAGGAACAGCTCATTTGGTAGATTATGGTGATGGTGTCAGAATTTCACAGCATCAAGCCCATGTCTGGTGATCAGGTTAAGAGTTCTGGTGGAAGGATGGAATACGATCGTCATCATTCGCCTTTACAGAAGCAGTGAAACTAAGAGCTGAAAATAAAATAAAAAAAATAAAAAAAGAACACACTGGAGGCATAAAGAAAAGCCCAAAAGCATCTTAATTCAATGCACTTCTGTTCCACACCTGCCATTAACATTGTCCAGTGTCAATTAATACTAACTTAACAATAATTCAGAACAAAAAAAAAAAATCCTTGTGATGACGATTTTTTTTTCTTTTTTCCCCATTTCCAAAGTTCTTCCTTTCAGGTATTTGAGGATCAGCCCCGGTCGAAAAGGCCGATTTTCTTTCCTGAAACCTTTTCTAAACGTATCATTGCGTTTCTCAATTTTTCTCTTCTTCAGATGTTGTTTTTTGTATCTTTTCCCGTCTCTGCATGCGTTCTCACCCAGTCTTGCACACTCCCAGTCACGCACGCAGCCAAGCACACACAACTCATCCGTCCATTCTCTCGCACATGCGACACGCGCAGTCGGACTCCTGGCCCTGCCCACCGGGGGGGAGAGGATGGTGCCCCATCGGGACGTCTCGTTGGAGGAGATGAACCTGGCTCCTCAGCACTGAGTCCAGACATTCGTACACAATGGGTCCATTCACACACATGTCTGATAGCGTGGCCGATTGGGGGAGGGGCACAATGAGGGTGGCGCCCTTTCTAGTCGGAGGACCGCAGAATTGTGATGGTTTGTGGTTCATCTCAGTTCATAATCAAAGTTATAGTCGCTTCTGCATTTTGAAGTTTTATCTCAAGATCTCTTGATTTGTTATTTTCGAATGTCCTTGGTTCTCCCTGGGCAGACGAGTTTGTTTGTTGTTGTCCTTTGAAGTTTTCCGAAGACGACAGCTCCGATAACACTGAAGTTATGTCGGCCTGTCTCTCAACGCATTCAATGTAGATGTTTCGCTTTTTTGCAACATGTAGCCACTCATTCTCACTCGCACCCACTCGCCATCTCAAACTTCATTTGGGCTGGTTCCTCTGGAATGCCAAATGAAATCCACATATTTTTCTCTCAGATAAGATGCAGCCATGGATCCCACGAGCCAAGCACAATGGATCGAATTTCTCACACTCGCTCTCTCTCGCTCTTTCTCTCTTAATTTGTTTATGTTGAACAGAGTGCTGCATCATGAACAAAACTCCAGAATACCCCAGGTGACGTCTAGAACTGGAATCCCTCGGCTGGCACGTTGGCTGAGTTAAAGCCATAAGTTCCACCCTGGATGGTCTCTGGGACGAGGCTGGTGTCTTCGTCGATCTGGATAACAGAAAATGCGCTTAGACGTCAGCAGTGCACAGCAGACAGGGGGCCGTTTGTCCAACCAGCCATGCTTTTCAAAATCCAAATTCAATTTCTAACCAAACAAAGCGAAATGGAACTTACATCATCAGACGAGAAGTACTGATCAATAATTTCGTATGCCAATTTGTAGATGTCTTCATTTTCGTGATTTTGAAGGTGCTCCACCTTTTCCAACCCTGTGGGACAGAAAAAAAAAACGACATCACGCACTGCTGAAAAAGAAATGAGAAAACCTTCTTGGAGGATGCGAGACCTACCTCCACATTCCTCAATCAGGTTAGCAATGGTTTCAGCCTCGTCGTCGGCCATCTTGAGGATATTGCTGAGGCCGTCTAGGACAACCTGCACGACTTGAGCATCTTTCACTGTGAGCAGGTTGCAGAATGGGGGGATCACCTGCTTCTCAATGAGGTGTGCCACCTGTAAGAGACAAAATGTCAGCCGTGTCAGAGATGCAGGGAACACTCGGCTCAGACGGCAGTCAAGGCCTTACTCTATACAAGTAAAATCTAAATATGCGAAATGCCAAAGGCATCTGTCATTCAGCCACAAACTGGGGCTCTACCCTGTTAAAAGCACAGCTGTCTAAGCCTATGTTTGATGAACAAGTTGGTGTTGAAGAACCAAAAAAAACAAAACGAGCCTGGTTAGTAGGTTAGCTGAAGCAGATTCTTACCTGATCTTTCCTTCCGCTTATTGTCAGGTTACTGATGGCCCAGGCTGCTTCCTTCTGAGTGCCAAAGTCACCCTGAGGTATAAACATTAAGTGTAAGTAAAACATTGTTAATCCATGTGCGCTTGAAGGAAACAAAAAACTGAATAGAGGAACGTTAAGTATCTATATGAATGGTCATAAACCTTGTCAAGCAGGTGGATGATCATGGGGACCAGCTTAGCATCAATGACAGCTTGCACCTGTTGCTGGTTACCTGCAGTAATGTTGGACAGGAACCACACCGCCTCCTACAGGACAAAAAGCACAAATGCAGGAGTGGTGGGAACAGATAGGACGGCTGCGTTTCATCTCAAAGGAACCACGAGCTGTGACTGAAGAACTGAGGGTGGTTTTTGTGGCTGAGCTGGATCAGAAAAACAGAGGCCAACCGATGAGAGTCGGCCTCTGGTAGAGACAGAGTCCTGTGGGAGGGGAGAGGGTCGCTTGAGGCTCTGATCATCGACCAGTCACAAGAGAGGCCTCGTTTTTTGGAATGACTGGTCTCAGATGCACTCGGATTTCAGCACATATTTCAGGACCCTTTCTTCCACCAACCCACGTAATCAAACATACATTCACTCACACACACACACACTCACTAACACCTTACTGCCCCCCCTTGGATACTTGACACTACCATCATGTTGCCTTTCTTCGGTGTCCTCTTCAGCGTGGTCATCCTCGGGAATCTCCGTGTTTTGGAATTCTTACCATCCATCAAATCCTACCATTATCTACACCTGATCCCTCATTCACCTTTCACACTTGGACAGTGTCTCAGATTTCATCAGGTCCAGACGGCTGATGCGGCATGTGGAGGTGGCCGTATGAAGACGGGATGTTACCTTGTTGATTTTCTCCTTGGGGTGAGTGAGGAGAGCTGGGAAGTGGCTGAGGGCCTCACAGTTGAGCACGACCTGCGTCTGTTCATCTGTGCCAGTCACGATATTTCCAACGGCCCTCAGAGCGGCGGTCTGAATGAGGGGGGGCAAGTGTGAAACTGTTCAATTAATACAACAAAGGAGTAAAAGTTGGTGCAGTAAGAAACTAACACCCACAAACCTTTGAAGCAAATCTTAAAAGCGATTATGATTCATTTAGGCATAACAGTGTAATGAATGCCCCGTTAACACAAGGCTGGATATGATATATTTTCTCAATCATCCTGGCTCAGGTTTAATCAACCCTAACTGGCATCAGTTTCCCCTCCGTACCTGAACTTTGACCTCCTGGTGACTGAGCAGAGGCACCAGATATGGGACGATGCCCGAGTCGATGACCATTTGGATCTGCTCATTCCCGGCATCTGTCAGGTAGGACAGCGCCCACACCGTGTCCACCAAGATCTGCATGCAGCAGCAACACATAGGATTAATCATTATTAATAAACAGATTTCCAGTTCTGGTGAGCTTCATTACACAGTGTCGTTTCAGATGAATATTTCATTTTCGCGTACAGAGCCGAGGCACCAAAGCCGTCGGTAACGTGTACTTACGCTGACATCAGTGTGGTGGATCAGCACGCAGAGGGCCGGCAGGATCTAAGAACAAGATTATACAGAAAAAGGAAAAGAGTTATAAGGTGAAGAAAGAAAACATTCAACGAAAGTCATAAAACAAAAGCAATAAAACGCAACAAAAATTACCACAGAAGCATTTTACTTTCCTTTGAATATCACAATAAAACATGTTGTTCTGCAAATTTAGACTGACAAATGATTATATCTGATCCTCTCTGCCTCCTCACAGTCAACACTCTACATCTTTGATATCCGCACGCTTATAAAAAAGGTATAAACCAAAAACACTTTAAAAGGAACTACTTCTTTTGTCACTGTTGACATGTTCTACCACATTCTGGTCATTGACGGCCAGTTTAGGAGCGTCGCGACTCAAACCTAACATCTACATGTACAGTTTGCCAGTGTTCACCATCAGAAGAAAAAGACGTCCTGCTTTAGGCTTTCATCTTCACTATAACTGACCAATGTCAAACAGAGCTACTGGCTGTAATAATCCATACCATATTTCCTGCCTCCTGCTGGTCTGGTCCTCAAACACTCAGATGCATCACTGAGCTCTGGTTGTCCATAATAAGCATTGCAGAATTATAAATAAACCAACCCAGAGGCAACATTTAGCTTCCAGTCTATACCCGTCCTTTGTTCCATCCTTTTATAAAATATAAGTCACATTCAAGGATGCAGAGTAAAGATCATTCCGTTTTGATTACAGTGTGCATTTGTCTTGGAATTATTTAAATTAGTTGGTGAAATATTATGGCACTTGTTTCCCCCCACACTGTATCAATCTTTTTAGTCAAGGTCTCATTTTATGATGGGAAATAGATAAAATCCCACAGGTTCATCATGAGACTGAAATCTGGACTGTGTGTTGATCAATCCACTCATAACTAACCTTTCAGAACCCTAAAATAGTCATCTTGTAAAGTGCCCTTGTTTTAAGGAAAAGCATACAAACAGAAACAAAACACAAAACAAAGTGAAGATGAGACCACAAAATCTGTAGGAAGTGAGAAGCAATTGATGCAATAGACTTTCTTTCCGTCGCCACCACACATACTCACCTCCTGGATGGTCTCCATTGGTGGAGGAGGGTCCTTGTGACGGCACAAGTTGACCATGACCCAAGTGACATTGCGGAGGAAGGTGATGGGAATGGAGGGACTGATGAAGGAGAGCAGGGGCTTCACCACACCCAAACCGATCACATAGTCTCTGCACTGTGGCCCATCGCCTGGAGAGGGCACACAAAGCAAAAGGCTGAGTTTGGTGATTGATTCAGAGTGATGGCTGATAATTCATAACACTGACATTATGCTGGCCGTGACCTTTATTTGAATTCCCTTGGAAATGATGTCAAACGGGACACGAGATCACTCATTTACTAAACAATAGTCGCTACACAGTGGTAACTCACCTATGATGTTGCCAAGGGCCCAAACTGCCTGTTCACACACGTTCTGGTGAGGAGAGTGAAGCAGCCTCAAGAACAATGGAACAGCATCTACAATAAAACAGACAGCGATGCACAGGTCAAGCAACATCTCTGATAAATCATTTATTAACACAAAGATTTTTTATAAATGTACATGTACAAAAAATTGAGCCATAAAATAATGCATGCTTTAATTTGGGCACCATACACCTAAACTTCCTTTTAGAGCCAGTTTAGGTTAGTTTGCCTTATCTAGTGTATTGTATGACCAAGTATAATCATCAAAAAATGTGTTGAGAAAATGTTACAGGATTAAGTTAAAAAAATCATGTAATGCAGCCTTTGAAAAGCCCCTCACAACATGTGCAAAAAATAAGACCTTCAAAACCAATGAAGACCAGTACAGAGAAAGAAGTTGTGTGCTGTTGCTCAGTTGAACTTACTGGATTTGACCACAGCTTGGGTCTGCTCTGAGGTACCAGATGCGATGTTTGTTAAAGCCCAGGCTGCCTCAAACTGGAGAGATGGGCTGTAGAGAAAAAAAGACGTGGGTGGGTTATTGCAGCGGCAGTAATGGTGGTAGGGGAGTGTGATTGGGCAGAGGTGTTTAACAGTAAGAGCATGTTGATGAATCATTCCATTCCTGGAAGGTGAAAACTAGAACACATTTACATAACAGCAGCACTAGTCAGATGTAGGCTGGGCTAATGACTGCTGACTCATTAGTAGAAATTCAGTCATGAAAGAGACAAGCTAACTTTCGCAGTAATCATCATAAATGAAATACAGTCAGCATACTTGTCATCTCTGTCCAGGCAGTGGACCAGTATAGGAAGGATCCCAGATTTAATCAGGTCATCTATGGGAGGATTACGGTCACTGGACAATAACTTCCTGAAAAACAAAAAGGAAACAAAAGTTTGTTTCACATATAAACACCAATAAAAAGGACTGAGTGTGCACAGAGTAACACACCCAGCTTATGACATCACAACGTCAGGTACAGTGCAGCATTAGCTCAACACCATGAACCATTGCAGTAAAAAAAAAAAATAAGGAACATTCCAGAAATGTATCTCATGCATTTGGCACCCGTCCGCAGCACCTTGTGTGGGGTATTTACAAAGCCCATTAATTACATGAGGCTGAGCTGCTCTAAATCACAGCAGTCAGACACATTCGGAAAAACAGCAACACTGAACCTCTATTTTGCAAGAGCCAATCAATTCCTGCCAGAAAGCGTTCTGACACAAAGCACTCCTGTACCAGTGCAGAGTCAGCTGCTTTCAGAGACACCTTTGAGCCAGATGTGTAATCATTCAGAACACTATTGTTCATAATGCACACAATGACTGACAACAAGGGCCATGATTCTCAAAATCCAGATGTTATGATAGTAACTACTCTTGAAATTGTGGCTGTATTAAATGAATGTGTTTCAGATGTGTTGCATCCATTGCATTAAGATGTCTTTTTACATTGCATGACAAAAATTTGAAGAGGGCACTTTTTTGTTGTTGTAATTTTTATGAATGTCCTGAGTCTTTTTATCTCATCCTTGTCAATCTCTCATTTTAACAGACAATTTGCCATGAGACACTCATCTCATTTCACAGTATAGCTAGGAGGCTCTCCGCCATTAAACTTTCTGGGATTCTGTCAAATAAAGAAATAGCAGGCCTGAGTAAGAAAAACTGCTTAATAGCAGTAATGACTGGGATAAAGTTTGGCCTTACCTGGCAGCCTGAACGGCACTCAGCTGGATGCCCTGGTTATCACTGGTGGCGTTCTGCAAACCAACATAACAGTCATGTGCCGCACAGCATCAAAAAGAATGGATATTGTTGTCAAAGCTCTACACTTTTCTGCTCAGAGCCTTTCAAAATAATTTGGTGACATTTCATCACATTAAGTAGAAATAGGAAAATATTTGATGTGAGGGTAAATACTTCAGTTAAATCCACCCGGTTTTGTTAACAGAGGAAACAAATCAATTTCAAATAGATGTTAACGAAGGTGGAAAAAAATTCTACTTACTTGTACTATTGCTTCAAGAGAAGTGTTTTGCTGTAACAGATCATTTTCAGAGTCATTAGAAAAATACGTCACAAAGAGTAAAACTTTTTTCAGCAAATAATATATTTCCTTAAAAAAATGAGCGATTAGAGCATTTCTAAAAAGCACCAACAGGGAGAGAAAGCCATTGAAAACTGCATACAGTGTTGTTGGGCTGATGATCACAGAAATAATTCAATCTGTTACTGCCTTTTGGTTTTATTGTTTTTATTAAATAGGCTTACTTCCATGACTGTTCCAGTCGTGACCCCTGCCAAGTAGCGGCCTGCCTGACTTATTCTAATCTAAATTGTAACGTCAAAATGTGGAGAAAAGATAGAATTGAACAGACCTGGTAAATAAGTATTTAAAAAGGGGGGGAGAGGTTTGTTTGGTTTTATTCTCCACTGGTTATACACAAAGGGAGAGAAAGGTATAACATGTCTCCCGGGCAACAGTTTGTTATCAGCGCTCCCCTGTGCACCTTCGTTCAGTGGCCATTGGTTTGCCGATATTAAAAGTAGACTGGCCTCCACACTTTCAACAAAAGCCCTTCTAATGTATTCCACTGAATCAGAGCAGCATGCCACTGTTGATACACCACTAAGAAGCTCATTTCAAGGCAGCCCTCTCAACACCATAAAGTAGTTACAGTGATTGAATCTCCAAACAGCTGAGTGGACATTGCAATCCTGCAATGCCACTATCATAGAGCCCTTTCATGGCATTTTTCCCATAACTGCATATAGTACAGTACTACTTGATTGTCAAGGCTTCCCCTCGCTGGGGGACCAGTCAGCTGTTTATCAGACTATGTAGCCACACAGAGGAGACAGTTTCCCTCTGTGAGTCAGTTTATGACATCAAACCGATAAAGCCGATGCTTTTACCTAAAGCATCTCACAAGCGAGGGCTGTTGAAGAGTATCGAGTGCCTGATGAAGTGGATTAGTTTGTGATGCGCTTTTAGTTTTGAATGCTTTGGATATCTTTTGGGAGTGATTATTAATGCCTGAATGCTCCAACGCTCACTTCCTTTTTGCTGAGAACCAACTGAGCTGTAATTCTACACTTGTGGTTAATAAACGTGTCCATGAATTCATTTCAGCCTAAATATATGGTCTGTGGACACAATAGAGCCATCCATAATTGATGCTGTAGATCGCCAGTCAGACTTTCAAACAACTCAATAGGAAATTGTGTGGGTGTCTGTGCTGCTGTGGAGATTTGTTGACATCCAAAGGTGATGATCCCATCTGACCAACCAGCACTCTGAAGTTTCCACATCTATGAACATTAGCACAGCTGTCTGTAACCTAAGCAGAGGTAATAACTATACAAGTTGGATATTCACAAAGACAAAAACTAAAAAGAAGTGAGCCGATTGTACTACATATGAAAACTGCAAAGATTACTCCACCATACTAATATAAAGTTGGTCATTTATATCCGCAATACAAACAGTCAACCCACAGTTTTAACATTTAAATCAGCTCCTACATTTGCTAGTTGCCCCACTCAGATCAACAGGCAGCGGAGCTAAAGGGTTGGAGCAGTAAAATGCGTGTTCAATATTCTTTTTTATTCCAGGCTGCATACTAATCTGCAGATTCATACAGGTAATTTTATTTTTTTTCTGTGGTACATTTTTCTAAACGATGATATAACAAATGATAACAACATAATAAGTGATGACTGACAGATCATGTTTGTTTGTTTTTTAAGTGGTGCCTCCATCCAACAGCAAAAATAATTCCCCTCATTTCCTGACACCTACTCTTTCACGACATTTCGAACCAGCAGGAGTTATGGAAGCAGCATTGCATGGACTCAAAGTGAGAAATGTCACCTGCGAAGTATTTCATTAGGAGCTAAAATTCTCCACGCTTTATTTAAGCATATACACTTAAAAAGTAGTGACTTGATTTCACTGCCATTCTACCACTGAGCAGAGAACCTACCGATCTGAAATCACCATCAACATCAGAGTCCTCGCAAATGTCCTCATGGGGCACGTTTCTCCTCTTCAGGAGGTGTTCGTCTCTTTTGTTCTGTAGGAGTGAACGCAGATGTTACTTCATGCATATTCATAAATGCAAACAAACCTGAACATTTCAGTACAGTACGTCAATAACATTATGCACATGACAGATCAGAAAACATGCAAGCAAAAAATGACTGGTAATCTATAGATTACATTAAACAATGACTAGTGTAATCACCTTTCGGAGTTCTACCACCACCTCAGTCCTCTGTCTTCTCATAGTCTGTGGAAAAAGCGGTACATGATAATTGAATCATAAGGGATTTTAATTTGAGTTTCACAACCAAAAGAACAAATTAACAACATAAAATTTAATCGGAAACCAACTCATCAAAACACAACGGCAAGCTTCAGCAGTTACAGCTCATTTGGGTAAGTTAATAGGAATGCTGTCGTTGAGAGAAAAAACTAAAAAGTTTAGAGACTGATGTATGTGAGCAAAGATTTTTATTTGAGCAAAAAAATAGTCTGGAAAGTGGTTTAAGAGATCTAAATTTGAAATGTAATCTTTATAGGCCCATTTTTAATCAGTTTACAGCACGAGTTTCTGAATGACAAAAACATAAAAATATGTGAAAGAAAGCAGCTTTATTCGAAATTGGCTGCATGTACAGCAAAGATTTAGAGATTTTTAAATAATTAAGGAATAAATGGGAAGAATGGAAATTTGTTTTGCACAATATGCCTCGGCCAGTCTGAAGAGCTGAAACCCAACTTTGTTGTGAATTAAATTACTTGTGAGAACTGATTTTGTACATTTCTGGACCAAATCAACATGTTTACGTGCATTAAAAAAAAATTCTGGTCTTGCTGTGAATACATTTTTCATTCCCCATATAAATATGTGTAGTTTTACTTAGCTTGAGTTACTTCAAGACCATTTTATTGGCCAATAATACAAATATGCATTTCTCAGCCATACTGAATACAAACTTGCATTTGTGTACACAGGATCTTTGGTTATCAATAAAGGCTGTTGGCAGACCTTTCTGTTAAAAGTCTAAACAGTCTTAAAAAAAAGGCTGGTTTCAAATATATGCAAAACATCTTTATAAAGTAATCCAAAAAAACATCTGCTCAGTACATCATAGCAACTAATCTCAGCTCTGTGAGGACAGAAACTAAACATGAAAACTTTGTGCTTACAAACTTTTGACATACGACAATAACATACTGGAATCTGAGTGTGAATAAGGGCTTAGTGGAGAAAAAAAAACCTTACTCAAACAGACCAATGGCCGCAGCTTTACATAAAAAGCTATTTCTTATACCAAATGCCTAAAAGACAGAACTCTGAATCTGTGTACAGTGGAGAGGACGCTGGAGACATTTTATGGTGAGAAACACTGATTCCAAAGAAAAGTAATTTATTAGGCGGACCAACTTACATTTATATGGGATGAAACAAAATGGAAAGAAAATAATTTAAATGTGACACTTAAATTTGTCCAGGCTCAGTGTGGCTCATTATTCTTACCCGTGTTGTTCAAATAGCCATTATTCTAATGTGTTCACTTTAAATATGCCTAATAGGGATTGCTAATTCAGTGTCATCTCCAAAAACGGATGGGAGAGGGGAAGATTATGCAAATGTTGGCAAAATAAAATGTTCTTATCTATATCTCTGAGCAGTTTATATGCCTATATATTGATTTCTAAAACTCGTTTTAAATTAACTACATTATTTCTATTTGCAAGATGCTCTTACATAAAGTTAAACTGACCATTCACTCGTGGATCCCTGTGACAAGTAAGAATACATTAACCCAGATAAGTGGAGTTTAGGCCAAGTGAGCCTATCAAGTGTGCCCTTTTGCACGCATGGCACAATTGATGAAATGAAGTACACGTTGGGGGCTAAGAGCCGGTGCTTCGTGAAGGATGAGGGTGTGTTCGCCCCGCACAAACCAAACATCTAAGTTGTAAACAGGCTGGTCAGCGAGGCAACTGTCGAGGCCCGTCTCGCAATGAGGAGACTTGTTCAACAGGATGTATGACTGTATCCTGCGCACAAACACATCAAGTATATCCGCCTGAAACCAATATCGACAACCGCTAGCATGCATGAAACAGTGACACTCTGACCGTAAATCACCTAGCAACTTATTGATCTGACGTTAACTAACGCGTAGCTTTGATCCATCAATCTTGTACCAAGGTTGACGAGTTGCATGTAGCTTATTCGTAGTATGTGTACCCTTAGCAAATGGAAAATAACAAATGTGATATTTAACATCGACTAAAGATCCAGGTAACTGGTCAGCTAACAGGCTAACTGGTTTCCGCCATTGTTTTTGATTATAGAGACGGGGGATGGGTGGAACTGCAGCCACCAGTAAGCTAAGCTAACACGTTGGTTAGCTATCTGCAGTTTTAAAAATGCACCAATCCACCTCACCCGTAGTATATTAATCGATTAATTGCTCACAAATGATCACGTAAAAGTTAAACACGTGTATTTTGTTATACATGGTAGCATTTCACGCCGAGTTGCACCGACTCGTGGAGATATGCTTCAGTTGAGCTAGCTTGCCCCCCGCGGGCCTGGCTAGCGGCAGGCTAGCAGACTACATCCAGCGGAGGTTTTTCTGACATGTTTTATACTCGACGCGGAACGAGAAACGAAACCAGAGAGAACTAACAGACGACCGCCATGCCGAGACCAACTGACAACCACGGGTGGTTTTGAAGGCCTCAGCCGGGCTCTGACTGCAAAGTTCCCGATGGTGGAAATTAGAAACGACGTCACAGGGGAGCCGAGAGGGAACGCTGGCCGTGAACACAGCGGCAACAGCACCGAAGAGGAGACACCAATCCGCACAACTTTTACCTCCAAATCTCGGCCCTTATTCTTGAAATTCTTCAGTCGCTGGTTGTCCAGTTTCTCGTTGTCAGCCATGTTAGCAATTGTGGCTACCTTAAATACAACTGAACTCGTGAATTTAGCTGGTGAGCTACCCTTTCCTGGTTCCCTTTTCTTAGCCTTTCGTTAGCGGACTATTTTTTGCTGCTCTGTCCGCGGTGCATACTGGGAATGCCGGTGGTGGAGGGCAGCCTCGCGCTAGCGTAGAGGAAGGGTGGGGAAATCCCCCTCACTCTCATTGGTTTTGCTGCTCACGTCTATGTGCAGGGAACACCGCACATTAGAAACTCATAGCAAATCATTATCATATGCATGTGAATATTTATTATATACATGCATGCATGCATATTCAAATATAAATATAGATATATATGTTTTTTTTTTTACTTTATCATAATTTTTCGCTTTTTTATGTGAAATTGTAGATCTACAAAGCTTCCATACCACATGGTTAATACAGTCACAGATACATCAAATGTGTTAATCTGGTTTGTAGGTGCTTGTACAGCATATTTACCATAGCCTCTATTCTGATCTTCATATCTCCTATGAATTGTAGCAAAAACCATAAGACTTGGAGGAATTTAATTTACAGGGTAATGTAAACTAGCAGATATTTGTATTGCTTTTCACTTGAACACAACCACTTTAGTCTCTTACATGTATTTTTTCTTCTGGGCAACAAAGAAAACAGTGCTGGGACTGAACAATTGTAGTCTTTGACAGACATGTTCTCCTCCTCCCCCCTTCCTAAAATAAGGATGAAACACTTCCTTTTCAAAGACAATGCCTGGTAGGATAGGTAGGATGACAAAAAAAAGCAGACAACAAAGCACAAGTCATTGTAGTTTAACGTGTATCTTGATTGTACTGTATTGTATTTTTTTGCAGTACATGTTATGAGACAAAACCTTTGACTTTGACTATAACATGGATATATAAACCAAAAAGAAAATGAACTCTTTGAAAATATTTCATTCATCCGGACACTTTTTATCATTTTCCATGCACAACATAATAGTTTTGAATACAGGGGCTGCTGGTAAAATTTTTCACAAAACTACCCCTGAAGATTTCTCACAAAATCGTCCTGCTGTATTATCAACAGCTAAAGATGCTCCATGTTCTTCTTGTTTCCTGAGAAGTTGTACCACACAGACCTCAAAGTTAAATGGTGGCAGAAGATCTGCACATGAAAATAACAATGAGTCTAATGGCATAGCACACAAATGGCATGGAAGGAAAAAAAAACAACCATCAACTCCCACATAACAAGTTTTGTTTCATTGCTGTAAGGCTAAAGCCTTTAGACCTCATTTTAACTTTAATGTCCTCTTGAGTCTGTCTCAATGGGGTCTTCATCAGATAAACCATTCTCCTGAAACCCTCTTCTAGTCCCATGCCGGTGATGGCTGAACACGGCTGGATGAACCACGCCCTGCCCTCACACACTCTTCCCAAGTCCAGTTTCAGGCAAAGTGTTTCTGGACTTAAAACACCTGGAAGGTCCTGTTTGTTTGCCAGAATCACAAGAGGAACACCTTTGAGACCTTCGTATTTCAGGACCTAGAAAGTGGAGGTATCAACATGGGGAACACACAATTATTGCAATGTTAGCTCAACAACATAACAGTAATATTCATTATTTTTCCAATTCATACAATTGTAGTATTAATCTTTTTAAAAATGTAATCTCAGAGTACAATTTAAGTTGAAACTTGCAAAAACAAAGGATTTAATCCTAATATATATAAAATGGACACATTAACAGCACTGATACATGACCTTACACCAGCCTATATCGATTATTGCTTTTGGTTACATATGCCTTATGAAACTTCGGGCAAACATGTCAATTCAAGGGAATTTTCCAACAAAATTAAAATATTCTGTCATTAAAATGCTTATTTAACTTTCTATTTAAGCTTATAAATTAATTTCTAAACTCTGCACAAGCTTCCTCAAAAGGTTACAAGCAAATTTTAAAGAGATACACTGCTATGAAAAAGTAATAATTTCTGATGAAATATTCATTGATTGAAATACCCGATGGAGTTCCTTGCGGGCCTCATTTAGTCGCTCCTCATCCTGACTGTCCACTACAAACACCAGTCCAGCTGTGTCTGAGTAGTGATATCTCCAGTTGGGCCTCATCTTTCTCTGGCCTCCAATATCCCACACAGTCAGTTCCGGGCTTCTCCTGTCCGTCTCCAGCGTCTCCACGTTAAAACCTACAGTTGGCACGGTCACCACGCTCTCATTGTACTTGAGTTTGTAGAGCAGTGTGGTCTTTCCTGAGCCGTCCAGGCCCAGTATCAGCACCTGTGCTTGTCTCTGAGGCTTGGATCTTTGCACACCCATAAATGATGCCTGCAGGGCTGTTGCCTGTCTCCTGAAAACTGCCTTTCCTTTATTGGTCACTGTGTAAACTATATAGTCTGCACCCGCTGGTTTCGTCTGTGTGAGCTCAATATGTCTGGTCTTTTCTGATGGGGAACATATGATCCCTCCCCTCTGTTGTGACTCGTTTTGTCTCTGCATTGCTTTCAGTAATGCTATTTATATCCCAAATGACTCTGCAACTAACTGGGGCAGCATAAAGCTCTCCAGCTTCTACTGCACAGTCAGTGGAGTCACGTCGCACCTGTCCCAGATCGTCATACACACCAGCAGCCAGGAAGTCCATATTTGGAACAACAAGAAGATTCTTCCTGCTAGGATGTCCAGCAGTAGTGACATCACAGCTGTATTTTGGTTGCACCAGCTGATGGATAGTTATTTTTAGACTGGCCTCTTTGCTGAAAGCATCATTTCCAGAAACCTTTGAGCAAACAAGAAATCTCAAAGGACTTGTTTCCAAATTTAATTTGACAAAAAGACAGCTGCATCCTAAGAGAGAGTCTTTGTCATAACTCATAGCTAAACCTCTTATTAACATATGTGTAAGGCAAGTATATTTAGGATAGTATGAACGTCTAGGTGCTTGAAACACTGCATATTTATCAGTTTATTTGTTAAAACTTTACAAATATTTTCCTTATCCATAATCTCAATTTAACACTTTATAATTCAGTTACAGATTAATGATGGTTTTGTTAATGTCTAAAAGCTTCTGTGCAGTAAAAAAAAAAGAAAAAAAAAAGTGTCCATTTGTACCATCTAGTAATGCATTATTAATGTGTTATTAAATTTGTTTTGCTCCTTAAGCCAAGAAAATGATCAAGATATGATGATGGAGAGGAAGGAAAAGCGTAGCTGTTTGCCACGCTTTCTTGGTTTGGGGACGATTTCTGTTTAATGAATACAGTTTCTATATTTGCATTTAAAAAAAACACACACAGTGACTTAATGACGTATTTTAATGTTACCTTTATGATCTACAATGTAAAATGTTCTTTATTTTTTAACAGTTTATTAAAGTCAACAAAAACAAGTACAAATGCCACACACATTCTGTACGGTACACTGTAAAGGAAATATATGATCTGGGGGGAAAAAAAGCACAGCCTCCTATCTGTTATACATGTCTGAGGCAAATCAGGAACCGGTGCTTCCGTGTCTCTAAGTGTGTGCAGTTGTTGTGCAGGATGATAACGTGAGGACAGTATGTACATTCATCTTAAAGTTCCCGTCTCTCCGAGACATTCCTTCAACAACGTTATTCTACATTTCAGCTAAAATATGACACGGAGGTGGTGCACTGTGCACGCTGTGATCGACTGCAGTAGTTTTGGCAGCAGAAACAAATAAGGCAGCAAGAAATCCTCTAATTCAAAGGTTTAATATATTTTGACCTCCAGCCCAGTAAAAATCATTTGCCCTAGGTGAAGATAATCATATAATGGTACATTTTTATTGAAATCTCATCAATCTCTTGGCTGGAAGAATTATCAAGAAACAAAAGAGACAAAAAACAAAACAAAAAATTAACACTGATATAAAACTAAAACAAATGACTTTTCCAATTTAACATGATCTAGATTACCGTACCTTGCAATATTTTTTTTTCCTGCAACAGGTCCTCATGTGTCAGTTAAGTTAAACTTTATGAACAAATAATTAGCAGTCAGGCATACTGAGATGTTCTCACATGATCTGTATTATAATGACAGGTATAGTTATTTAAAGGAACGTTTCATCACACTTTGACAATCTACATCTATCCAAGGGTTGTTATATTTTACATTAATATCAGCTGCACAGATATAAATATGTTGGGTCTGAAAAGATCTGTCTCTCTGTTTTAAAAATGATTTTAAAAGAGACAAACGTGGAAGATATGAGACCTCAGAGAGTTAAGAAAATAATTAAGATGTTGACACAACTGAAGTCACACTTGAATTAAAAGTGACGAAGCTAAACAAAAACAAAAACAAAACATGAATTCCATTATTAAATCCAGCTCCTCACATGCAGCAAGTTTGATGTAAAACTGCTCTGTTCTATTGCTGTTCAATATGAATGGTAAAAAGAAGCATATGCATAATTTCCAATACTGTTGTTCATTATTAGCGGAAAGTTAATGATCCACAAATGAAAGGAAAAAGAAAATAACCTGCCTTCACGTTAAAGAATTTTCAGTGCATCGCTTTGTCAGTCCAAAAAGACGTGGACACACATAGTTAGAAAACTAAAGATATGAATTTAATGATCAAACAGACAACGAATTAAACTCACGATTAATATATGAAATGCCAAGCCACTGATGTTCGTTAAATCCATCACTACGGGCACAAGAGGGACTAGTTTAGTCATGTGAGACTGTGAGGTTTTTCACAAAGCAAAATCAGTCCCTCCTTTTAAGCTTTTCTCACAAACATACGACATATATGCAGACTAAGGGGCCCATCTGAAAATGCACAAACCTGTTTATTTCCATAACAGCAACCCATCTGAAGCATGGCCGAACCTGAATGAACAACACTTTCATCATTTAGTTGATTAAAGAGAGCGAGGACTGATGTGGGGTGTAAATGTCTGTGATAAGTCTCAATAAAACCACCTTTGACGTCTGAACCACTCCTATTCAATCATATGCGTGCGGTGGACTGCTATTTTTCGTTGGTTTTGCCTTTAAACTTGACCACCATGACGGTGATGTTGTCGGGGCAGCCGCGGTAGAAAGACTGGAGGACGATGCTCTTGGCGCCGAAGTGCGGCTCGTCCAGTCGTTCCCTGATGAAGCGGACCGCCTCCTCGTTGCTGAAGGTGTCCCACAGGCCGTCTGACGCCAGGATCATGAACTCGGGCTGCAGCTTGTCCAGGTCAAAGGACATGATGTCGGGATCGGGAACGACCACGTTAAGGTTTTTCAGGGGGTAATCTCCAAGGGAACGGGACATAGCCAAGATGCCCTGGACACGCCACGAGCCATTGAAACTAATAAAACCGCCTGCAGAGGAAGTCAGGAAGAAATAGGGGGACAGGAAACAATTTAAATGAAGGATAATACAGCAAAAAATGTTGACTACAAAGTGGAGAAAAGAATGAGAGAAACATTTAACTGCTACGGGGAAAAAAAGATGACCTGGCTGCATATTTTCAATCAACTTTGAGCAAATGATTACGCAAAGCCCAGAATAAAATATGGACCATTACCACTGACATGTTTTCACTGTCGGGTTCAAGGAATGAGCTGTTTTTGTTGGCTGTCTGCCAGTTCATGTCATATCCTGTAAGTACAGCTGTGTGCTTTTGTTTCAAAAGGCAAGAAGGGGAATTATAGTGGAATTCTAGGGAAAAGACGCAAGCTTCCATCTTTGGTCAGGACATCCTGATCAGGGGGGCTATTAACTAGATTTAGAAATATACTAAAGTTGATAGTTCAACCCAGATTGTAAATATCGATGAAAACCCCATTACGCGCACATTCCCATGCATAGACAGCATCAAGTTGGCTACAAATAACTTAGAGGCACATTAGTTGTTGGCCAGTGTTTTTTTTGCTGCTGAATGTCATTACAGAATTTTTATTTGAGTTCATAAAATCAATGAGACATGTTTATTCAATTTCTTAGAATTCAGGATAACAACATGTCAGTCAAAGAGTGTTTTGGGATTTTTAAAAGATTCCAACGCATTAAACTGAGGGCAAAAATTAAGAATAAAAATAAACATGATGCAAGAAAAACTAAGAATCGGGAAGAAGGATTTCCCAGTGAGTCTTAAGCCCCTTTTCAGACAACTAAAATAAGCCCACTAACGACTGCTAAGCGTACCACGGTTGTGTGGTGCTACAATACACTATACACAACACACTACACCGTTTTGTGTCCATGGGCTACAGATCAAATCTACACTGATGGAATTTTCCTCGAGGGTGAAGAAAATGCCACTATTTTACAAAGATGCCAACCATAACATATTCCCCGGAGTCTCTGCTGTCAAATGCAGCACACAACTGGCAAGCAAAGAGAAATGAGTACCCGACTGTGAGGCAACTGGACGCCCACTCTTGAATCCAGATGTGTTACACTTATATCTATCACTACAGTCGAAAATAACAAACGAATCAATTTGTCTCACAACATTCGGCTTTTTAGAAAAATGTAATCCGACAGAGACAACAGAACATAGTAGAATGACGTGTTCAGTGTGAGTTTGTAGTAGTAGTTATAGAATACACCAACAATCTCAGGGGGATAACACATAGCTAAAAATATCAAACAGGGATTATTTGATCAATTTGTTTTGGCTGGTGTTCCCACATTTAAACACAAAATAGAGACATATACAGGAAATATAGTTGTTGGTCATACACATTCCAATTATTGAAGATCTAAAAAAAAATACAGCAAAGGGCTGATTAACTCTGTACCATAGATCTAAAGTTGCCAAGTTTGGGGGCATATGTTATTGAAAATAGACATAATTAGTTTGAGATCTGGGTCAAAGATTTGGTGCTAGGGCCAATATGGAATGCTTCTTTCTCTGTTTTTTTTAATTTAATTTCTTTAGAGCATTTTAATCCTCTGAAAAAATGGGCTTCATTTATCACAGAAAAATATAAGAAATTTTTTAAAACAATCACGTTTCTCCCACTAGCACATAAACTAATGGAGCAGTCAGATTTTATGATCTGAATTTCTGAAAACTGAATTTCATAAATCTGAATTTCTGAGAACTGAATTTCTGAAAACAGCCAACCATGATGTTGGGTTTTTCTTTCAGTCCCAGACACCAACCATTAGATGGAGCTGTGGGACTTTAATGACTGACTATTGCCCAATCTGCCTTGAATCTCTCCTCAGAACAGCAAGTATGCAGAGAGGGTTTGGATAGAGAATTACGCCTACATGTGCACCTTAAATGATGTGCACTGTCTGGCTGCGTTTGATAACGCATTACTTTAGAAGCGGAGTGTGTTATCACTCAGTGGGTTTTGATGTCGGCCTTATACACAAGATTAACGGGAAGAAAATGGAGAGGAAAAAAATGGTAATGGTTCTGAGCTCTGATCAAAAGAAAACGTATTTTCCGCCTTCATGACAACAATCAGGGCTCTGATGTTCCCTCCAGATTTAACTAGAGCTTTGTTCTGTTGTTTGGAAGTACTAGAAAATGACAGTTTCCTCACCAGCCTTCTTGATCCTCTTGCGTTCTTTGAGCTGGTATGGTTTGTGGTCATGAGATAGGGGGATGGCGTTGCCGTGTTTGTCGCACAGGACTCCACGAGAGTCTCCAACATTGGCTACCGTCAACTCCTTCTCAGACAGAAGAGCCACCAGACACGTTGTGCCTGCAACAACAGGGAAAAGGGACGAAAAGGGGGCAGGGAGAAGGAACATATATTGGAATTATATTAAATTAATGGCATTCCACAGCTGGGCCATTTCTCTTCAAACATTAAAAAGTTGTAAGTGAATATTTCAGGAGATTACCAGAGTTTGTCCTTAAGGGACCACACATGTCTGCAAAATGTCAAAGCTGTCCATCAAGCAGATGTTAAAATGGTTCCCTCAGTTTCAAAGTGGGGTTTCACCTGACAAGCTGACATGAGAGTCATGCCAGGGTACAAATATGCTTTACAAAGTTAAGAAACATTATACCTGATGGCTAAAAAAAAAGACTAAGAAAACCTATTTAACATTTGATCCATCGCTAAATCTTTACAAGATGCTTTACTAGAAAATCCAGTCAATAAAGGTCAAATGTGAACACGTTATAATGTACACCGTTGGAAAAAAAAAATTACTCTCCACAGCATGAGATGAAACATGAAGCTGTGTGAAAACAATGCAGCACAAGAAAGTATGGATGAACGAGGCAGAAAGCCTTTAAAGTAACTTCACAAAAATGCTTTTATTTCTCCTTCCTTTCTTTGTTTAGCTTTCCAGTCAGGCAGAACCGAGGATAGACGAGGGATCTGAGGCCTATTGTATGAGATCCAAAGTCATGTAGAGAAAGAACAGATCTGCCGTTTTGGCCATCTGCTCACACAGAGCAAAGAAAAAAAACGGTAAGTGGGAGAGGGGAGCAGAGGAGAGGGGAAATGAAAAGGAAATGAAGGAGTCCTACCACCCGGGGCTTGACCACCCGGACAGAGAGTAAAAGCGTACAGGGAGTAAATGGAGGACAATGGGCCACACAGCAAAGTCACACCCAGGATCTGGACGTTAAAGCTAGAGGAAGGGGAACAAAGCTGGTTTGGATATTCTTTCAAGGACAAAAGGTTATCTACATCCATGCCAGAGATTTTAAGGTGATCCATTTAATGTTTATCACAGTCTGTCTCAGGTATTTAGCATTTATCTGGGATGATTACATCCATGTCTCCTCTGACGTGTACCTCACCTTCAGTTAGAAGATGGAAGAACAGACTGCAAAGTGGCAAGTGAGAGTACAGGACAGGATGGGAGCTGCAAGAGGATAAATTATACTATTTATAATATATAATATCTACTATCTATATTAAGAGGTTGTAAAAAACAGAGTGATGAATATGTGAGGCAATACTGACGCCACTGAATTGGAAATGACTCACTGAATCTTTTTAAAACGTTTTGTTTTCAGTTTCATCCTTGTGCAAATTCATAATCCTGCTGCATTAGCTCATGGCCGCAGAGGCACTGTGCCATGCTGTCCAGCTAATTATCCTTATCTAGTTCCCATGGTGATTGAGATAATGGACTGAGGTGGTTTCTGAGCACACCCTTCCCCAATTAGCCCGGTCATGCCAAGCATGGATTCAGTATTCTCTATTAAAATGAAACCGTGGCCCACATGCTCTTTGCGCTCATGCCTATTATGAGCTTCACATAGTCAAACAAACCTTCAACAGTCCAATAAGATTAGCATCTTGGAGGTTGCCACTGAGCTCTCAATACATATTGGTTTATGTTCTAAATCAAGCAGCAAGACTTCCAAGTGAAATGTAAAGCATGAGGTCCTAACTAGAGACATTTCCATTCAATTGGTCCTGAAAGTCTGTACATTTCACCAAATGAAAAGGGCCGTCCCGGCTTACCTGTCCTTCTTGGACTGGCACACTCTTTGTGTTGGTTTCTTTGAACTGCTATAGAGTCTGTGCAACAATAAGGTGAAATATCACAGGTGTGTCATTGTCAGGCTTAAGGCTGTCTCTGCTTTTAGTTGTCTTTAGGCTTTGTTCTATTCCTTCCCTCATAGTTCTAAATAGTGAGTATGGCTTCATTAGGGTTTGCTCTATTCTTTCTGTGGCGTTGTGCAAGCTAGTGTGAAGTTTTAAACCTTTTTCCTCTCGTTATAACTCACATGAGCAAAAATATGCAATATAGTATTTTTGTATTAGATTGCAGGAACTGACCTTAAGTCACTACGTTTGATTGCCATGTCAGTCCCCTAAAATCGAGTTTTAATGCAGATTTTAACAGTGTTTGCAACACTTCAGTGGCAGGAAAAAGACTGTGGTCCTCATATACAGACACATGTAAAAATAAAAGGATACAGAGTTTGATGGAAATCCTCTCATTTCCATTATAAAAAACATTCTGCCACAAGCTCTTATGTCAGAAAGCACTGCTTTTAAAAAACATGTTGTATGACAACAAACATGAGATCTCAGCACATTTAATTATTCATTTCTGTTAATGCAGCCGCCACAAAGAAAGCCGGAACGTCTTTTAAAAGGTCTTCTGAGACATTACAAATTTAAAAGTCAGCTGCTGTGGCATCACAAGCTAAATAAATGTCAAATCTGATGTTGGAGCCCATTACGCATGCCCAGGCTTCATTTAACTTTAAAACTGCATATTACTTTTCTTCTGTGTCTTCAATGATCAGTTTCAAACATGATCCCAGGAGGATTCGCATCCTCTTTATGTCGTCTGTCTGTTGGTTCACAGTCTGTTCTGTCTGTTCTCCTGTGAGCCGAGAAACATTCCCGCTTCGCCATCATGGATGACTGCCCAATGACTTACTCACATGACAAGGAGGAAAAGTGAAGACATAGCACAGGAAATAAATGATGATAGTATAGAGA